TCTTTTCTTGAATTTATTTTGAACTTTGAATTTTGAATCTTTTAGTTTAATTGGCATGTATCTTGAACAACAATTTTGGGGAATATATTGAATGGTTTTAAAAAATACAAATTTATAAAAATTATTGACTTGAATGAAAGAACGAAAAGGATGATGAAAGATGTTGCAACCTAAACATAGTGAATTGGACAACTTTGAGTCTTCATGTAAGCTTATTATGAACAAATGATAAATACCACTTAAATTTAAACATAGTTTATGTGTTCATGTAAAACTTGAATTCTTTGTACTTTGAATCCAAACAAAAACTCCATATTTGAGATTCTTGATCCAAAACCCGAATCACCTTGACACTTCATAATTCTTAAAAAAGAAGTTGAATGATTATTAATTTGCAAGTTTGCACCTTATTTGGACAATAATTTGAATCCAAATGAAACCCTTTTTATGCTTGAAATCTCTCCATGAGAATGAATCTTGAATTTTGAACTCAAATAGTGAGTATGGGATAAAGTTGAAACTTGCATCTTCCATCAAAACCTTGACTGAACTTGGCTCTAAGATAAGATCAAACGCGAACTTTGAATTTGAAAATGGCTCCAACATCTTGTAAACCTTGTGCAAATCCCTAGATCAAAACCATTCTCAATGGTAAAATACCTTCTTAGCTCCATAAACCAAAATCAGAAGAAGAACTAACTGATTTAAACTTGAGCGAAGATGAGAGCCATCAAAACCACGTAAACCCTAATTCCGACCAATGACATCCCCAGCTTGAAACCTTAATTCCATGAGGAAGAAATCCTTGAGCAAAGATGAAAATAAGATAAAGCTTCATGACTCTTGACCACAACAGATGTCACATACTCAAAAGTCAAAACCCTAGTACAAAACCAGTGGAGAAACTTTGAGCATTATGCAAACTCGAACCCTTGAAAAATTAATTGACATGTTTGGAAACCTGAAATGCTTTGAACATATCGAAGCATCCTAGAAGAAAATTTTAAAGGAAAATATGGAAAATTTTAGGGTACAACACATAGAAAGAACAAGGAATTCACGACCTTAGTCAACTTTCAAGGGTAGGTCCTAAATACAATCATGCCATGCTTATTGCTGCTTCATGTTTTTGAGAGACTACAATAAACACTTTCCACCTTTGTTATGGGATGATCATTCCCATTCTCTTTAATCTAACTGCTATCACTGGTCTTTGACCTACTGGATAAGATTATGAACCTTAAAGGATCACAAAGACCAAATCTGGTTTTGAATTCTCTAAAAGTGCTTACAATATTTTTATTGAGGACCATTCTAGTTCGATCGATACGGTTGACGCCTATGGGCATACAATGCTTTTAACTTATTGGCTATGTCACTATTTCTTCTTCCCCATTGGGGTCCAAATCACAAAGCTATTCATGCCTCTGGATACTTAACTTCTATTAACACAAAAAAACACTATATACTTGACTTGATTTATGCATGTTTTCATGTTGTTTTGTCTCCATTTCCAGTATTATATTGGTATTTTGTTTGTATTTCAGGTAATTGACCAAATGAGAGTCATATGCGAAGAAACAAAGCGATTCGAATGAAAAATGGTGAAGAATTGGGTTTTTTACACTCAAGGCGACCACCATGGCATTCACCATAGAGGTGGCCATGAGTGGTCCATGCGCCAACGGTCACAAAGACCAAGTCCTGCCCACTTTGAGAGCATGGTGCTCGCCACAGAGGTTTGGCAGTCACCACACGTTAAAAACACGCAACAATTGCATTTTGGGCTTGGCTTCGTCTTCCACTCTTCCCATTCTCCCCTAAAACGTCTCCCACGAGTTTGGAAACATCCCACATGATTTTTAGGTCTTGGAACATTATAAATAGGTATTTTTCTTCACTTTTTGAACCATCCAATCTTAGTACAAAATTAAGTCATATATTGTTGCATTTGTAAGCTTTAACTCTTCACATCAGAGAGTTATAGCATTGTTGATCGAGTTTGTATCGAGTTTGGAGAAAACCTTTATAGATGTTTTAATCTTGTCACCATTTACTTTTCGCATTCAAGTTTCCAGCAATTTACTTCATGTACCAGACTAAAGTCTCTTCAGAGCAGGTTTTTATTTATCACATTACCTTTATTTTATCGTTTCTTTATTTAATCTCATGTTCTTATTCTACTTTAATTCCAATTGCATGTTTAAAGTTTTACTTAATACGTGTATTATGTTTTATTTCATGATTGAATCAATTGCTTTATCATATGTTATAATCATGCCTAGCTAAATTATAAGTGTTGTAATGTGAGGACCGTCGATTCAACGACACTCTAAATTGTTGTTCTTTGAGAAAAACTTATGGGGCTGTTTTGGTTTTAATCACAACTTTTCTTAACTTATTTTTTGTCGGTTACTATGAAAGTAGAACCATTTATACACCGGGTTAGATCGAAAATCGTCAAGTATAAAAGATTAAGGTTGTTTAGTTTTTAATTGATAAAAACCGCGAAAGCTATTTTTTAATTAATTAGGAAGGTTAGTATTTTAAGAAAGTGTTTTTAAATCTATTTTCGGACGCGTTAGTAAGTTTAAGATACGATTGGTGGAGCGAACGCTGGAAACCCTCTAAAGTCTTATTTTCCTATCAAAATAACTTTTCATCTGAGTAAAAGAAATTTATTTCGAAAAAAAGGTATTTACTTCTTTAAAGCAAAACGTGTCGGGCACGTGACAACATACATTATAAATTAGAGAGTAAAATTTGGTTCCATTACGCGACAATAGCAATTACTTTTTAATTAGTTCTTTTTCAAAGAAGAAAACATTATCCCATAAGTAATTCAATTTAGGAACAACAAGAGTATCAATGAATTGATGAGATTCAAATTCCAACATTGTATTTCTGAATTAAGTCAAGTCTTTTATTTACTTTATTTGCACAACTCCAATCCTTTTTTAATCGCCTTAGATAAATGTCGTAGCAATAAAAAATGATAGTTTGACTATTAGGTCTCTGTGGGTTTGACACTCTTTGTATTACTCTGATATATTTCGTACACTATCGGGGACCAATTACGTCAAATATCATAACTCTTCTGTTACACCGTTTAGACTTAGGCAACCTTTTTCTGGTTAATGCAAAGAAATCGCAGCATCAGAACTTTAGAAGATCAAATAGTTGAACCAGAAAGATACACACGTGCGAGACTTTTGCTCCGACGAATCAAGAAAGTAATGGCAAACGAACCAGATCGTAATCCACTTAAGGATTTTTCCTTACCTTTTAACGAAGAACCTCATTTAAGTATTCTTAACCCCACTATCCTAGCTAAAATTTTTGAATTGAAACCCACTTTATTACAAGTGCAACACAACCAATTTGCTAGTCTCAAGACTGAGAACCCTAACCAACACTTAAAAGTGTTTCTTCAATTATCCAACACATTGAAAATCAATGGTGCTCCTCTTGAGGAAATACCTTTACGTTTATTCCCTTTTTCCCTCCGAGAAAGAGCAAGATCATGGGCCGATTCTCTCCCAACAAATTCTATCACCACTTGGAATGATCTGAAGAAAGTATTATGATGGGATGTTTCGCAAGTGTATGAAATGTATCAGAGTAATACAAAGAGTGTCGAACCCACAGAGACCTAATAGTCAAACTATCATTTTCTATTGCTATGGTGTTTATCTAAGGCGGTTAAAATAAGGATTAGAGTTATGAAAATAAAGTAAATAAAAGACTAGAATTAATTCAAAAATGCAATGTTGGAATGCAGATCTCTTCAATTTGTTGATACTCTTGTTGTTCCTAAATTAAATTACTTATGGGACAATATTTTCCTTTTTGAAAAATAACTAATTAAAAAGGAATCATCGCTGTCGCATAATCGGAACCGAATTTTACTCTCTAATTTATATTGTCCATTGTCGCATGCCCGACACATTTTGCTTTAAAGAAGTAAATACCTTTTTTAGAAATAAGTTTCTTTTACTCAAATGAAAAGTTGTTTTGATTAGAAAATAAGAATTTAAAGGGTTCCCGATGTTCGCTCAGCCAACCATACCTTAAACTTACAAAAGCGTCCGAAAATAGGTTTAAAAATACTTTATTAAAATACAAACTTCCCTAATTAATTAATAAATAACTTTTGCAATTTTTACCAATTAAAAATTAAACAACCTTAATCATTTATACCAGATGACTTTTGATCTTCCCTGGCATTTAAATGGTTCTACTTTCGTAGTAACCGACAAAATTAAGTTTATAAAAATTGTGATTAAAACCAAAACAGCCGCATAAGTTTTTTCTCAAAGAAGAACAATTTAAAGTACCATCGAATCGACGGTCCTCATGTTCCAACTTTTATAATTTAGCTAGACATAATTATAACATAAACTAAAGTAATTGATTTGATCATAAGATAGAACATAGTAGATATATTAAGTAAAATTTTAAACATGTAATTGGAATCAAAGTAGATTAATAACACGCGATTAAATAAAGAGACGATAAAATAAAGGTAATGCGATAAATAAAAACCTGCTCCAAAGAGACTTTAATCTGGTATAGGAAGTAAATTGCTGGAAACTTGAATGCGGGAAGTAAATGACGACAAGAATAAAATTGTTGCTCCAAACTCGATACAGACTCGATCAACAATGTTATAACTCTCCGATGTGAAGAGTTATAACTCTCCGATGTGAAGAGTTATAACTCAACAATGTATGGCTTAAGTTTGTCATAAGCTTGGATAATCCAAAAGTGAAGAAAAACTCTAATTTATAATGAAAATAAAACCCTAAAATGTTGGTTGGTGTTGCTAAATTCGTGTGACGGAAAATAGGAGAATATGTAGGAAGTGGGAAGACTTAGCAAAGCCCAATTCAACTGCCGCAAGATTTCAACATGTGGCGATCGCCACACCTCCATGGAAAACGCCATGCTCTCAAAGTGGGAAGGACTTGGTCTTTTGATTGTTGAGACGTGGACCACCCATGGCCACCTCTTTGGTGAATTCCATGGTGGTCGCCTTGAGTGTAAACTACTCCATTTCTTCAATTTTTCATCTATTTTGCTTCATTTCTTCGCATATGACTCTTAAATGGCTAAATACATGAAACACACACAAAATACCAACATATTAATGGAAATGTAAAACAAAATGACAATAAAACATGCATAATTCGAGTCAAATAAATAGTGTAATCTGGTGTCATCAAACTCTCCCCCACTTGAACAATTGCTTGTCCTTAAGCCAAATGAAAGTAACTAGTAACACTCAATAGTTACTATAGGCTTAAAGACTTTATATTGAACAAGGTTATGTCAATATGTACTGATTCACAAAAATAAGGGCATCCAAATAACATACTTTGCATTTTTGCGGGCATAAGTCTCTTTCATATACAAACCAATAAGTATCATATTATTATGCTTAAGCCTAACTTACTCATCCCATTTTTCATCCTTTTTAATTCAGGCGCAATCACATTAAGCTCGTTATCCATACATACTCATAGTAAGGCGACTGGTATGTGACTCTGATCCTTTGCACGGGGTTCTGGTACATAAGTGGTGTAACCCATTTGTTTACCCAATTATAGTTGCTGAGGATCAGACCATAATTCACCTTACCAAGTTCAGCACTAGAGAATTTCTGAACCAACTAACAAAGGGTTTATTCTATTTTTGCAGGTTCCACAACCCTTGGGTTAAGTGAACTTGTGGGTATCATCTGACATAGAAGGAGAATTCCATATTTTAAATTAACTATAGCAGAAAAATTAGGATCATTCACTTATATTCATCGACTTCCTTACGTAGAGCATGCTTAAGATGGTGTTGACTGCTAAAATAAACTACTTAAGGACTTACTTAGGGGTAATATTTTAAGGCTAAGGCGTAACCATTATCCAGATCGATCTCTATAATTAAGAGACTTACGGTGTTGAGATGATACTGACATTTTAGGTCATTTCCTAAGTCTCTATAACTTATCCTGATCCTGTCTAATATCTTATAAATTTAAAACAAACACTATTTCTTTTTGCACAAATTTTCAGTATGGCTCAAGAAAAGGAAGAATTTTTAATAAGCAACAAAAACCACGCATAAAGACTTTTGATAACACATGCAATGACTCGATAAACAAAATAAAGAAACAAAAGAAAATACCAGAAAGCAATAAATCTAACTAGAAAGCATGAAATATAATCTAGAAAGCAAGTAAAGTTCCTCTCCCAAACTTAAATGAAACACTATCTTCAATATTTTGATAAAAGGTGAAAGAGGAAAATAGAACCTGGTGTGTCTCACTGCTGGCCTCCATGACCATCTCCTCCCTGATCTGGGTCATGGTAGTCACGTCTCTGACGATGGTTTCTGCTTTGACTTTGGGTGGTCTGAGCCAAAGTCAGTTGCCTCACCTGCTCTGATAATGCAACATTTGATTCTCTCAGCTGGAATATGTTCCCCAGTATAGCACCTTGGTTAGCGTACATCAGGTTGATTGAAGCCTGTTGGCGCTGTGTTTTAGTTGTTTGTGTAAGTTGGGCTTCTAAGATTCATTGGAGGGTGAACTGTGTCTGAGCCTGAGATGATTGCATATATTCTCTCGGGTCTTGTTGTTGTTTGTACACACTGTACAATAACGAGTCAGGCCCCTCCCGAGGAAACTCTCCAGCGTGGTCTTGGTAACTAGAAGAAGCACCTGCAGCATTATTGGTAAAATCCAGTGTTGTGTGTGAAGGGGATGAGTTATGAATAGGAGAAATATGTTCTTGGAGATTAAACTCGTCATCAGTATCATTACATGTTGCCATATCAGCGTTAAGTGTGGTGGGTAATGGGCCAGTTTATTGGGGAGTATCGAAATCATAAGTCCATTTGGCTCTCTTCTGTACACCAGTACATGCAGGCCATGGTAAAATAATACTCTTAATGGCAGCATTTTGAACCATAAGGTGATGTCCACCTTCCTTACAGTTTCTATAAAACCTCATACTTTGGGCATAGGAGAGATCAAGCATGTGGTGTGGTAGGGGTTCTAAGTTAGCAAGTTTATTATCAAGGCATATAAAACATGCCAAGGAGGTAATCTAGCCTCCAAATGAGACAACGCTTTTCTTAGAAGCAATTTCACTCATGTGTGCTATCATAAATGGAGTCGAGTTTACCGGTCTACGGGTAAGGGCGGCTTGCAAATAAAACATTTCCTTAGCATTTGTTTTGTTTGTATTTTCCCGGCCAAAAATGGTATCCGCCAACATTTGGCGAACATAACGGATGGTCGAGTTATGAATTTCAGAAGCAGGGACTCCCTTAAAAGAGTGAATTAAAACACCAGTAATGTCTTTCCAAAATAATGCAGCCCCATGTCCCCAATCAGATTCAAGTGGGGCCTCTCAAGGTATACCTTCCTCGTATGGAGAACCCATTATCCCAACAATTTCATTAGTAGTGTATTGATACTATATGTTAAACATACGAAATTGCACGTTATCTGCGATACTTGTAGACTCAGGCCTAATAGTGTAAATGAGTGAACTTAGAAATTCTAGAGTTAAATATACATAGGTATGGTCTCTTCATTCAAACAAACTTTGTAAGCCTAAATTCTCTACCAAATAATAAAAGTCATTATAAATGCCTAAAGTTTCTAAACAAGAGTTGTCGGCATACCTTATAGGGAAAATTCCCCAGTTCGATAGAGACTTGTACCTTTGTATTTGTCTGGCTCTAGCTTTTCACGCTCGAAATATTATTCCCATGTTCTCTTCCACCATTGTTGTTGATGTTGGTGAAGAAAAATAGTGGAAATATGAAAATTGGTATTTTGGGATTTTTGGGTGAAAAATGGGAGTATTTAAAGATGAGAAATTGAGTGGGTTTATGGAAGATGAGTGGGTATTTGAGTTATATGGAGTTATGTGAGTGAGAGGGTTGTAAATGGAGTTAATGGTGGAAGGTAATGAGATTGGGAAGAAGAAGGATGTTGAAAAATGGGAAGAAATGAGGGTTTTCGCTATTGTCCCGGGTTTCACATCTCAGGATCCGTGGCGAGCGCCACTCCCATGATGGCGAACACCATCTTTGGCTTTTGGAAGATGGGCCTTAAGTTGCGGATTTTTTGGCTTTGGGGGTGTTTTAATTCATTTTTGGAGGTGTGATGCCGTATCTTGGGATGTTTGCCTTAAAGTGAAAAATTAGTTGGTAAAAAGAATGAAACTAGATATTGGTTAGACATATTAAATGAAACAAAATAATATAATGATAAAAATAAAGTGAGAAATATTAAGAATAAACAAAGCATGCTTAAAAAATGTTGAAAAATAATCCCAAAAACCTAGAGGTGCAATTACGAAAAAAGGAGTTAGTCTGAAATGCACTAATTGAAACGAAATAAATATAATAATCGTAAGAGAAAAATCTAATGACGAAAATATAATAACGGTGAAATAAGTCTAACAAATGACTAAATAGACTGATAAGTGGGATCCTGTATCCGATGTAGGCAGGATGCACAAGTCTTTGAAAGTTGGCATCGAAGACTGAGAATATCCTGGGAGAGGTAGTCTTCCTCCTCAATATGAGTACCACTAGTTATATCCATCCTCTGTGTAAGATCGTTAATTTGCTCTCTAAGAACAACAATCTCCCGACGCATAATAGTAAGTTCATAGTACATGTCTTGCCTCTCTGCGGGACTAGTGGTAAAAATAGTAGTAGTCCTAACCGATAGAGGTAAAGGGTGATATTCAAGAGTAGGAGGGGTGGTAGGTTTGTATGGTGTTTCTCCTTGGTCTTCCAAAGAATAAATCCAATTTTATCTTTTTTAGACATTTGTTCTTTCTGGATTTGGTAGGTAATAATGAAAAACGACTTTATTATTAATGAGAATTTTGTACTTATTAATCATGAAGTAAGCTCGTTCTACCATGCCTTTTGTGATACGGTGGGAGAACTGACTTGAGGTTTTGCGTTTGTATTCGCACTTGTTCGGTTTAGCAAGAGTCGCCACCGACTTTTTATTTTATCCTAAAGGAAAGGTTAAAAAGCACAGGAAAAACCTTTGAGATGTTTTCGTGGGTTCGGGGGGTAGATTATGAAAAGGGAAGGTATTAGCATCCTTTTCATCAATGGTTATCCATGGGCTCTTAGTTACTTGTTTTAGATCACTTGCCTTGATTTTCAACTGCTTGAAATGGTGGTGTGTGCGTGTTTTTGAAAATGCTTTGAAAAAGATGCCTTGTCTAGGCAACCGTTGTAACAATTCTTTACTCGAATGTTTTACAAAGGTGTGTGTCTTTTTGAAAAGATATTTCAATGTTTTTGAAAGTTGTTTTTGAAAGTTGTGTTGTGGAGTGTGTTTTGAAAAGTAGGCAAGTGTGTTTTGTAAGTTTGATCAAGTAACTAAGAGTTGTCTATCCCTAAATTTACTCAAAGATTTTTCTCATGTTTTAACCCTTTTAACAGTATTGTTTCACCATTGTATTTGATGAACAATCTTGTGTTAGGATGTTAACGGGACGGGCGCGGGTCATCGTATAGACCATGAATGCAATGGTGCCAAGTGTCTTTGGAAATTTTTGCTTGAAGGGACTATGATCATTTTGTTTAGGCAACTTCGAAAGCGTCATTGAGGGACTATGATCATTTAATTTGTTTTTGTTTTGCCAAAGAACTCAACATGCAACATGGCCCATATTGGAAGGCAACAAGCGGGATTACCCTAGGGGTGCAAGTGTGAATTGTGTATTGATTATCATGCATTTGTCTTTGTATTAGGTTATCTAGCGGTTGATTTTATTGGCATACAAACCCTAAGTCTAAACATGGTATAATTGAAAGCGATAAATTGCGGGAATTTAAAGTCCTAAACTATTACAAATAAGTATCCGGGGATAGGGGTACAAATATTTACAAATGGGGGATGAGACTTGTCGGAATGGTAGTGTCCAAATAATATTTACAACCAAATCGAATCGCATTCTCAATGTAAAGTATAGCAATGTATGAAAATCAAAGAGAAATAAAAGTATGTAAGATGCACATGATTATTTATAAATGATGCAAATATTAACCTAATATATTTATTAAGTACTTTATTCTTTTTTTTTGTATTTTTTGTTAATGTTATATATAAACAAAAGTTTTAATTAAAAGAGAAGAAAAATGTTTTAAGTTTAAGAAAAATTAATGCTTATGTATTTTAGTTTATATACAAAGGTTTATTAAACAAAAATTCTAAAAAAAGGAAAATTATTTAAGTTAGAAAAAATCCTATTTTTATGTACTCTTAAATATGATAAAAAAAGTATTAATAAGAATTTTACATGAAAGGTTAATATATTATTAAAAAAGGAAATAGGTTATAAAATAAAAGAAAATTAAGAAATGTTAGTTTAAAAGAAAATAGAATAAAAGAAAGTCATGTGGGCCTTATGTTTGTTCTTGGCCCAAAACAAAATTTGAAAGAGAATTGGAGGGGGGGGGGGGGGTACGCGCACTGAAGGAGGGGTCAGGCGCTAGAAATCAATAGGGCTTAAGGCTTTTGTTCCAAGGGTCAGGCCCAATGGCACACGTTTGACACATTTTGTTTTAGGGTTGAATGAGTTTGTCTCAGAATTAGGGTTGCAAGCTTAGAGCGGCGCCGTTCCCTTCATCGCCTTCTTCATCTTTCTCATTCTCAAGCAAAAGCCGTTGATACTCTTCCTCCACGGGTGGCTACAGGACGCCATCTCCGCTTCCTCCTCTCCATGGTCATGCGGGCGGTGGTTATACAAGGTAATGATTCTGTCTTAACGCATTTTTAGGGTTTCAGTTCATGCATGTTATTATTGTTGTATGTTATTGATTGTTTTATGCGTTGTTTGTGTTCATGAGGTATATCAATGGACTGAGGGAGTAGAAAGTTATACCTTTGGAGGGTTCGTTTCTTGGAGAGGAGGAGAGGTGGACGGGAGGCGTCCTAGGGCGGAGGGAGTATGATGCTGTGCTTGCTGGAAATCTGGTATTCAGTATCTTTTAGCTTTTGTTTAGTGATGATGCTGTAAAATCTGAAAACGCTTGCCTATTTGCTTCTTTTCTTCTTCTGGTCGCTTACCTCTGTGATGCTTGTTGTTGCTTCTGAGTTCTTTGATGTGATAACCCTATGATGAAGTCATTCTGAGGGTTTTGTTGGTTTGAATGTTTTGATTTGATGACTGTATGCTTGGTTTCTTGATGATGAACCTTTGAGTTCTTTGATAATGATGATGATTTCGAATCTGAATTGCTTGTTTGCTATCCTTTCATTTCTGAATAGCTTTTCCTCTCTTGATGCTGGTTTGGGTTGGGACAGGCTTTGCTTGTTTGTTCCTGGTTTTCTTCAGCAGGTTGAAACAGTTTTGATACAGGCTTTTTGATTTGAGGGCTTTTGGAGTTTATGGTTCTGTGTTTGAATTTTGTTTGGATAAAGGCTTGAGGTTACATGCCTTTAGG